CATCAACTTACTGGAAATGATGTCATATGTAGGAACAGTTGGATAGTCACAAGTCAGTGAGAAAAATTTAAATTCACCAGACATTAGACACCCTTCTGTTAAATCAGAATGCCTTGATCTCAATGTGAAGATTGAGGAAATTCAGCTTACTAGGCACAAGCTCCGATCCGGTGTGGATGAGAAGTAGAAGAATGTGATTCCGACTGATAACCTTCTAGTGCATTGAGTATGATATCAAAACCAATATGCAAGCATGTGATACAAGGAGCTTTTCGATAGTCGACTGTTCGACTTCAACACCCAGAGGAGAATGTGAATTGAAGAGGATTAGATCATTGGAATTATCCACGAGTTCTCTTGGCATTGTTATTCGTTCATGGGGATTGATGAAAGCCATGTAGATTCTTGCAACAACAAGTACATTATGAAGTTATCTCCAACCTACAAGGCACTTGTAAAGTGTACTGGCAAATATGTACACAGGAATAAACGAGCGGTGTGTGATGTGCTCAACATTCTGAGGAGAATTGATTTTGAAAGTCAACTGGAATGTATATTTCGGCGCAATGTGTCTACAAAAGAATCAATTAGGTATTAGTGAAAATTCACTTTGCCAATCAATTTGTTTTAAAAATTCGAGTCTGGAGAGAATGGAATGCCTAAATCGAAAACAATCAACCGACCTCAACACTCAACACTCCACACTCCACACTGCTAACTAACTAGAAAGCACAAAACATGAGAATGACCATCACTTGAAGGTCGCATACAGGTCAAACGAATGAAATCAAGCCATATTTTAGTAAACGCGTGATTATTAGTCTAAAGATTTCAGAAAACAGTAAATTTAACCAATCGAATAAATCAGAAGTCAGAATAAATATTGACTGATCAATCATGGTTGATTTGTAGATTTTTCAGGACACGAATCACGAGAATGTGCACCTCAGGTGTAGTGAATATTGTGAGTGTAGTTTAGTTTCATGTCATTGTGGTAGTGTTCAACTAGGTTCGATTGAACACTGACATGATGACAAAGCATGAAAAGCACTGAAAACACTGATTTCGAGTAGTTTTGGGAGAATATGGTAGTGAGAAGTGTAGAGTTTCGTGTTCACGATTTGCCTTTGTATGTGCTACCAGTGATAGAACTGACCATTGAAGCTATCAAACTAGATATTACCCCTCGTTCGCCAACCTGTAGAATTCGAGTATTTAACAGTCTTACAGTCACCAACATTCTGTCTCAAAATTTGCTCGTATTTCGCATAACTCACTCAGTATAATTGGGATTTGACGACGTCTTCTGCATAGATGGATTACTGCGTCAGCATTCACTTGATGCATACACTGAATTGTGAAGCAACAATTTCATATGTTTCACTGTGCAGTGTTACGGTGTGATAAAACAGTTGGTATGCTTCTAAGAGTGACACATTAGATGATACAGTGACCACGCTGATTTGATGCATGGGATCATGGGGCGACATTTGAAAATGCTGCACCGCATAACTCTGTCTAGCACCTTCTAGCTGATCAGTTGTTGTTGCTACGACAAAAGACCACAACAGAGACGATAAGTTCAGGTGATAAACGTCCATCTTCATCTACTGCTAAATACGTAGTAGAAACTTGTCACAGAGCAGACATGGAAACAGCTTTTAAAGTACTACATAAAAGTGGTCAGGGTCGAGTGCCTAAATTTGTTGACGCTCTTACCATCAGTGAATTCAAGCCCCTTTTATGCATACAAGACCAATTTGCACTCACCTTGAAACTATCTTGGTAGTATTGATTTGAATTTTCATACCGAGAGTGATGTGATGTGATTTACATTTTGTTCTTCCCTCCCCTTTCAATTCATCATCATATTGCCTATGGACTTGATTGACCCTTCTCGTAAATTTTCATATAAACAGTTGGATGAGTCGATATGTGATTCGATTGTTTGAAAAATGTCTTCTCATCAAGCTGTTTGAATTTATCGAAGGGAGCGTTAGCAAGTTATTCATTTTTGGCATTTTTATGTGTGTTTGTTTACAAGTTAAACTGTTTCTGTGGTGAAAGCTATAGAGAGTGTACTGCTGGGCAAATTGACAGACGTCTTACTGAGCCTCTACCTTCATGGTTGTGAAGGTGAGTGATAAAATCCGTCCAGTGTTCCATTTCATCTCACCTCGTTGATAGTGGTCACTTGGTAGATAAGAACGATGCTTTCGAGAGTATCCACTTTATACCACCTAATCCTACGAAAAGCATTCGAATGTATCTTTTACACGTGGCAGAAGCTGTGGGAATTCGAGCTACGAATTCGAGCCTTTTTATTCAGAAGACGTTTGTACATTCCTCATCTCTCCCTTGGTCTGGGATGGGATTACTTACTAATCAACCTCACTATTGAGATTCATCTAACCACTTGCATATATCTACTTTAGACTTTACATTGAATGTCAACCTTTCACACGGTGCCTAATATTTGTGAAAATATCCTATCGAATGTAGACCAGGATTCATAGAAAATGCTTACTACATTTGTTTACACCTTGTTTACCCACTTATTTTGTCCTCCAGTATTTGTTGAATTTGTCCCTTGGGTTCCTGGTGTAACATATGGCTGGCTTCATGTGGCACGTCGCCATTTCACTCTATTCTCTGCAGTATTTTCAAACCTGCTCGTAGAGTAGTTCCACAAACAAATTCTGCTGTACAATAACCAAAATGCTGTCTAACCATCGACCGTATGCCTAAAAGAACGTTTGGTCGCTTGTCACTCCACTCACCATCATATTGAGTAGCTATTAATGCTGCTTTTTGCAGTCGTTGAAATCCTCCTACCATTCGATTGGCGATTGGATGGTAAGCGGTCGTCCGAAATCTTTTGATTCCAAGTAATTCCGTGAGTGGTGGAGCCGGGTTGAAAATACTGCAGAGAATAGAGTGAAATGGCGACGTGCCACATGAAGCCAGCCATATGTTACACCAGGAACCCAAGGGACAAATTCAACAAATACTGGAGGACAAAATAAGTGGGTAAACAAGGTGTAAACAAATGTAGTAAGCATTTTCTATGAATCCTGGTCTACATTCGATAGGATATTTTCACAAATATTAGGCACCGTGTGAAAGGTTGACATTCAATGTAAAGTCTAAAGTAGATATATGCAAGTGGTTAGATGAATCTCAATAGTGAGGTTGATTAGTAAGTAATCCCATCCCAGACCAAGGGAGAGATGAGGAATGTACAAACGTCTTCTGAATAAAAAGGCTCGAATTCGTAGCTCGAATTCCCACAGCTTCTGCCACGTGTAAAAGATACATTCGAATGCTTTTCGTAGGATTAGGTGGTATAAAGTGGATACTCTCGAAAGCATCGTTCTTATCTACCAAGTGACCACTATCAACGAGGTGAGATGAAATGGAACACTGGACGGATTTTATCACTCACCTTCACAACCATGAAGGTAGAGGCTCAGTAAGACGTCTGTCAATTTGCCCAGCAGTACACTCTCTATAGCTTTCACCACAGAAACAGTTTAACTTGTAAACAAACACACATAAAAATGCCAAAAATGAATAACTTGCTAACGCTCCCTTCGATAAATTCAAACAGCTTGATGAGAAGACATTTTTCAGACAATCGAATCACATATCGACTCATCCAACTGTTTATATGAAAATTTACGAGAAGGGTCAATCAAGTCCATAGGCAATATGATGATGAATTGAAAGGGGAGGGAAGAACAAAATGTAAATCACATCACATCACTCTCGGTATGAAAATTCAAATCAATACTACCAAGATAGTTTCAAGGTGAGTGCAAATTGGTCTTGTATGCATAAAAGGGGCTTGAATTCACTGATGGTAAGAGCGTCAACAAATTTAGGCACTCGACCCTGACCACTTTTATGTAGTACTTTAAAAGCTGTTTCCATGTCTGCTCTGTGACAAGTTTCTACTACGTATTTAGCAGTAGATGAAGATGGACGTTTATCACCTGAACTTATCGTCTCTGTTGTGGTCTTTTGTCGTAGCAACAACAACTGATCAGCTAGAAGGTGCTAGACAGAGTTATGCGGTGCAGCATTTTCAAATGTCGCCCCATGATCCCATGCATCAAATCAGCGTGGTCACTGTATCATCTAATGTGTCACTCTTAGAAGCATACCAACTGTTTTATCACACCGTAACACTGCACAGTGAAACATATGAAATTGTTGCTTCACAATTCAGTGTATGCATCAAGTGAATGCTGACGCAGTAATCCATCTATGCAGAAGACGTCGTCAAATCCCAATTATACTGAGTGAGTTATGCGAAATACGAGCAAATTTTGAGACAGAATGTTGGTGACTGTAAGACTGTTAAATACTCGAATTCTACAGGTTGGCGAACGAGGGGTAATATCTAGTTTGATAGCTTCAATGGTCAGTTCTATCACTGGTAGCACATACAAAGGCAAATCGTGAACACGAAACTCTACACTTCTCACTACCATATTCTCCCAAAACTACTCGAAATCAGTGTTTTCAGTGCTTTTCATGCTTTGTCATCATGTCAGTGTTCAATCGAACCTAGTTGAACACTACCACAATGACATGAAACTAAACTACACTCACAATATTCACTACACCTGAGGTGCACATTCTCGTGATTCGTGTCCTGAAAAATCTACAAATCAACCATGATTGATCAGTCAATATTTATTCTGACTTCTGATTTATTCGATTGGTTAAATTTACTGTTTTCTGAAATCTTTAGACTAATAATCACGCGTTTACTAAAATATGGCTTGATTTCATTCGTTTGACCTGTATGCGACCTTCAAGTGATGGTCATTCTCATGTTTTGTGCTTTCTAGTTAGTTAGCAGTGTGGAGTGTGGAGTGTTGAGTGTTGAGGTCGGTTGATTGTTTTCGATTTAGGCATTCCATTCTCTCCAGACTCGAATTTTTAAAACAAATTGATTGGCAAAGTGAATTTTCACTAATACCTAATTGATTCTTTTGTAGACACATTGCGCCGAAATATACATTCCAGTTGACTTTCAAAATCAATTCTCCTCAGAATGTTGAGCACATCACACACCGCTCGTTTATTCCTGTGTACATATTTGCCAGTACACTTTACAAGTGCCTTGTAGGTTGGAGATAACTTCATAATGTACTTTGTTGTTGCAAGAATCTACATGGCTTTCATCAATCCCCATGAACGAATAACAATGCCAAGAGAACTCGTGGATAATTCCAATGATCTAATCCTCTTCAACTTCACAGATTCTGAGACGACCTCACTGGATCGATGGGTTGAAGTATCAGATACAGTTCGAGAAGCTGGACGATCGAAAGCTGCCTTAGTATCACATGTTGCATATGTAGGTTCCCTTGATATCATACCGTAATGACACTGGTGAGAAGAGAATTATCAGTCGGCAATATTCTTCTACTTACTCAATCCACTACCGGATGGAGCTTGTTTTGCCGGTGTAGATATAGACTTGAATTTCCTCAATCTGTCAGCATATCAAGGCATTTCAATTGATTTACACAGACAGGGTGTCAATTCTGGATTTAAACTGTTATTCTACACTGACTGCGCTGACTATTCCAACTGTTCCTCATATGAATCATTTTTCCAGGTAAGTTGATTGTGCAGTTCATCCTGTTGACCACTGACAGACTTCAGGTGATCGACAATACATCCAGCTACCATTCCATACATTCGAAGCATATTTCCGTGGAAAACACCAACCGAATGCACCACCTCTGGATAGGAGTCGATTGACACGTTTCGGCATACAAGTGTATGGTGGTGTCTATGAGAAGCGAAGACAATCTGGTCCTGGTTCTCTCGAGTTGTTTACAATTGCAGCGTACAAATGAGAAACTGGAAATGACTCATGTTCCAGTGGATGAGATATCTGAGTGTTTTTTTGTTGTTGTAGTGTCGTAGTTAGTAATTGTCTCTTCTATATGATTCACATAGAGAATAGTGTTTAACTTCCCTCGCACAATTTAATAAACCCATCGTTTCATCGTGTTTGTATTTTTATCTAGTGATCATTTGGACTGAGTTTTCGTGTGCTTCTCTCTTGTGAGAAACGGTGTATGAATCGGCCTCACCCACTACTGTTAATGTCGAGTGACATTGAAGCCAGCCAGCCAGCCAGCCAGCCAGCCAGCCAGCCAGCCAGCCAGCCAGCCAGCCAGCCAGCCAGCCAGCCAGCCAGCCAGCCAGCCAGCCAGCCAGCCAGCCAGCCAGCCAGCCAGCCAGCCAGCCAGCCAGCCAGCCAGCCAGCCAGCCAGCCAGCCAGCCAGCCAGCCAGCCAGCCAGCCAGCCAGCCAGCCAGCCAGCCAGCCAGCCAGCCAGCCAGCCAGCCAGCCAGCCAGCCAGCCAGCCAGCCAGCCAGCCAGCCAGCCAGCCAGCCAGCCAGCCAGCCAGCCAGCCAGCCAGCCAGCCAGCCAGCCAGCCAGCCAGCCAGCCAGCCAGCCAGCCAGCCAGCCAGCCAGCCAGCCAGCCAGCCAGCCAGCCAGCCAGCCAGCCACTCTATGAAGCAGTGAAATATGGAATGGGATTTCGGAATTCCAGTGGCTAGTTTAGTTTTTCAGTGCACAAGGAGACATAATCGGAGATGTTAGCAGTTGTTGGAGTGGACTTCAACTTCACCGTGTGTGTCAGTGATAATTCGAAGAGTGAAACTGACAAATCTCTATGAAATTGATGGGTGTACTTCAGCATTTTGGCTGTACAGAGATAAGTCACACAATGTATCACTCATCGGCTTTGATGGCATGCAACCATTCCGGATTGTATGGCATATTCGTTGACCATTTCTGGAATGTAATGTGAATTTGGTTAGTCGGAGATGTGTTGAAGTTGCCTAGTCACTGGTTATATTTACATGAAGTGTGATTGAAGTAGTAGTAGAAACGGCCATATGTAAGCAAACACATGTATGCATGCATGTGTAGGCCAGAAGATTTTGAGTCAGTCAATCAGGATACTGACTGTTCATGCACATATGTGTTGTGTGAATATAGAGAAAGATGTTGATGAATGGTGCGATGCTGTTGTGGAAAGACGTCAGGAGGAAGGTAACTGGGAAGTGAAGAGAACAATGAAAATCAGCAAAGTAGGATTAGTTACACATTCACTTCGATTGGCAAACTGAATCCACTTGTGAAATGAATACTTTTAGTCTCTACTGTGTGTGTATATGTGTGTGTTTTCTCCAGCTAATCTCAGAGGTCACACAACTCCGTTTGACGATAGAGGATTCTACTAGACCACCAAATATTCCATATATGTGTGCATGTTGTATGAAGTGAACGCTGGTAATTTCGTCTAACCTTGTGATGAAACATGTAGTAACAAGCCTCAAAGCTCAGAACACTCTGACCAACTATCACTTGACATTTGTTTATTATCTCTATTGACTAGGGTTGTGCATGTTTCGATTAGAATCAGTGCCCATTTATGCGTAAGCGTTGAGTTCACGGTTGAATTGTAGAATTGCAGTATACGTTATATGATTGCATCAATCGTATGTCCTCAGGAGTGTGTTGTATGCGCCGAAGATTGATCACCCAAATTAATACATGTTGTTGATCGTAGGTGAGTTTCCTAGCATTTTTTCACGTGAGAGTAAGATGTTGGTGATCGGAACTTTATTTCGATAGACGCAATGTGTCTTCTCAGAATGAAAGTTCAGGGTTTTATGTTTGACCTTGACGAGTTGATTCCGAGTGAAGCATTTTTAGTTAGTTTGCCCAACTGTCAGTTCTAATGGATATATGAAGGGAGATAATGCGTTCACTTTGTGTATACATTAGCTCAAGTTCCCACTGCCTGTAATTCGATTAACAACGACGGGTATTGAAAAGAGCAAAGCACGAATGTTTGCGAAGGATTTATTTCAAGCTCATCTTGATGAACAAACTGAAAACTAGAAGATGCGTGAAGTGTATAGGGCGTGGAGAATGTATGTGTGAAGTTCTCAGGCATTCTCGATGCAGAGAAACATCTCAACCATGGAAAATGTCTAAAAATTGAATGAATATGTTCGAGGGACAAATTGAGGTTACTACAACTTGTTTAGCTATAGATGAAGAGAGTCGTCTTCCACCAGCATTTATCACGGTTTCACATTTCACTTGTTTTTGAAGTCGTCTTTTCCACCTATTCCCTGAGTTTATCCAGTCACATACCATGAGATCGTAGGAGCACAGCATATTGTTTCCTTCTCCACATTTCGTTGTGCAAACTAAGAATACTAAACAGGGAAGTGTAACTAGGTCACATGCTAGCCAGCAGCTGAGTGTTGGAATATACTGTGTGTAAAGCACAACTCAAGTGTTTGTTCACACAATAACACACAGAAATTGACAACTCACCTTTAGAAAATAACCACATTTTGAGTTAACTAGAAATGTCAGTCATCGTGTGCTGCTTGCTTTCAATGACACTGTTCAGGCGAATTCCCATTATTCAGTATATTTACCATTCAACGTTGTATTAGAACTTTCATTTTGATCGCATTATCATCTCTGTGATTGATGGTCTAATCGTGAAGCTCTCATGTTCAATCCAATGTAAATCACCTGCACAAACTACAAACTTCTTTCCGAAGTTTGTGGTAATGATGTTGAGGGAAATGACGACGAAACCTTCACGGTTAAACCATACACTGAGAGAACATTTCACCATGCATGTCTTCCTCCCCATCTACAAATATTCTCAACTTTGATTTTCAACCTCAGCTTGCTGGATATTTTACACACAGTGAATTGGTATTAAACAGAGTGACATAGAATGACGACTATCAGAGTTCCAAAGTTTTAGTCTTACCTTGATTTCTTTCTGGTTGCCGGACAAGGAGATGAAAATACAGGGTAACCGGTTACCCTGGCAGATATAAACATAACCTGAGCCTTCTAGCTAATTTCAAAGTTAACAAGTTCATTGAATTTCGTCAACAAAATAGCTGATTAACACTTAGTCAGAAATTAAAAGTTGAAACTCGTTGTGTGAAATGACCAGATATACTAGTGGTAAGAAAGCATTCCCTGAATATTTGTAAGATTAGCTTCAGACTCAACTCTCTTGTCTTAACTAATACAATGTCACTGAATCATACTTCTCTTCGTATTATATACCGAAAGCATAGTTTTCTCTAATTGTGAAATCCATTTTATGTATTCGCCAAACAACATAGATATTTCCTGTTTTCTAGATGAACAGATTTTGGAATTTTTATAGGAACGTCGAATCGGCAGTTAAGTGACTATCAAAGAGCACAAAGCTTAACCTCAAAATACAGAATAAGAAGTTAACTGTCAACGCTAAACGTGAATAGTATTCATGTCTACTGTGGAGTTGGTTATTCAAGGTCAGCATGGGGGGTGTCGGCTTTGAGATGCTGTGACTCATCTTCACCAACACCTTCTGATATAGGAGACACTGAATTGAGCTGCAACATGGAATACGATATTGAATTGACGACGCGTATTCGATGTGAAAATAGAGAGATTAGCGGCGGCACACACTCGATATTTTGCTAGCAGATAATTGGTCAATTAGATTTATTATCTCATTATTTCAATGTCATGAATGCGTTTGCATTCTACATATGATTCCTAATGAAATTTCTTCTTAAGATGGCATTCTCTGGAAATATGAGATATTCCTGAAAATGAGAATACACTATCCCTGGGAAACAATTGCAATCATGATTATTCTGCGGATGACAAACAGCCACATACTACCCATCAAATTTATATTACCTTTCACCAAATATTATATGACGAGAAATTCCATTCACAAGAAGAAGCATTATACAGCATTTCGTCTTCTCAATGTCTATCTAGACACACTTAATTACTGTCAACTGAAATTGTGTTGGCAAAGGACGTAAGTACAAGTTGAATTACTGTCCGTTTATGTTGTTTACATCAAGAATTTGATAATATTTGGTCAACACAACGGGAAAACTAGAAAACATTGTTAGGTGACCAGGATCTATGTGGATTTAGGGTGGCTGTCATCAAATGATAGTTGATACTTCCTGTTTCTGAAAATGCTTATCCTGTATTCAATGTATTTCGGTGAATGCTTCACCTATGCCAGGACTTGAGATGACTTCTCGCTCAAAATTTCACCGCTCTTATTCCTCCACTCCTCTTTCACTCTGAGTTAACTCAAATGCCTCCCTCAGGTCTAAAATGATATTTATTTGAGTAATATGTGGTGAGATGTGTTTATTGGGAGTCGGGAAGTTTCGAAATGATAATTTGTGTGAATATTCCACTCGGGGAAAACCTGTTCGCGGCATCACAATGTTCTGGTGAAGTTATCTGGTATCTCATGTAGGGTACACATATTCTCTTGAGAAGACGTCACTATAACGGGGTTGAAAATGAATGTGATTACGAACAGTAACCTCCATCCACTTTATGTAAGGCTGTTAACTGGATGATGTAGAAAGCAATAAATTAAGGCTGTTTAACACACATTTACTTCCAGTTTCGCTAGAATGAAACAGGGTTGGTATATCTATGTGGTACTGTTCAACTACTTGTGGTTTTTTTGAGTAGCATAAAATGTGTGGAAACCAACACACAATCACAGATTAGCTTAAATCTGATGGTTTCGTAAGAAATGTGATCAGTTTTACCAAACATTCAATCCTGATGAATAATTGCGTATATTTTTTCATGTAAACACATACACGTCTTCATGTAAATATATATATATATATATATATATATATATATATATATGTGCGACGAAGCTGTAAACTGGTGTATATTCTCAGTCACCTCCATCAAATGTGCTGCAATAATGCCATCTATATTATCCACTCTCTCACAAAGATCAACTTATGCAACACCTGTTGAGTGTGGAACATCACTATCTATGTAAAACTCCCTAATTATTTATCAGCTGCAGAAAATCGTTATACTTCACTTTTGACTGCCAGTAGCAACTAGGTATCGCGTCGTGTTCAGTTTCAGATGTCGAACATTTGTGTACAAAAGA